GTACTGTATACCCATACAATGAAATTCACGACCACTCTAGGCAGCTTAAGGCACTGTCTGCTATTTTAAACACTCATTGTTTTGACTGGAGACTGCGAGAGCATTTTAAGAGAAGTGCTGAAGACGCAAAAAGCATCTCTAAAAAATCTGGAAGAAGACAGCGAAAGGGGGAATAGAAGGAACCTTAAGAGGTTCACCTGTACAAGAACAAAGTCTGAAATCATTGGGGCAAAGGCAATTTAAGGATGGCAACAGAATATTCAAAATATCTTGTTCACAGGATTGCAGCAGATACAAGGAGGAATGGCTCAGCTATCCAACCATATCAAAGATTTAGGGTTGCAAATGACTGATACTAAATGTCAAATTGCAAAAAATAAAAAAGGAATAGCTAATTTAGAAAAAAAACCCACAAAAATAGAAAAAGAAATGGAAATTATGAACGCAGAGCTGGGAGTGATGCAATATGAAAGAAAAAAAGATGAAAGCAACTTGCTAAAGTTATAAATGGAGAAAGCCAATCTCATACGTAGATTCCAGAATCTTCCAGAGCAAAAAAGATGAAGACACAGTGCAATTAGTAATTAATGTTTTAGCCCCAATTATGGAGATACAACCAGCAAAAGTACAACAAAATATGGATACAGCATGAAGAATCAATGCAGCATATACCAGAAATAATAAACTCCCCAGATAAATTTATGTTAAATTCATGAGAATGTTTCGAGAAAAAGTTCTAAGAAAGATGCAAAATAAAGAATCCACTATAAAGGGAAAAGAAATTAAGATTTTGAAATATATTCCATGGCAAAGAAGATAGAAAAGGAGACAATACATGGAGTTGACACATTTCAGGAGAACAAACTCAATTGCTTAAAAGTGGTTAATACCTGAAGGCGTCTCTTTTCAATTTCAGTTGCAGAGATATTGTACTAAATCAACAATGAAGGCAGAAGACTTTATGGGGGAAAAGGGGGAAATAGTTGGATAGGAAAGAAGAGAAAAAGACAGACAAGAAACAGGAAGAGGAGAAAATATATGGACCATCAGGATCCAAAAGTGCAAAACTGAGCTACAAAATTAAATGGGAAGTGCCATTTAAACATGGAAACAAGAGGATCTAAGAGGAAAGAAAACCTTAACAATAAAGATAGATAAAATGAAAGAAAAACTATTCAGAATTTTGTTAGCTAACGTAAACAGTTTAAACTCAACCCAAACATGTAAAAGAATTTATAAATAAATACAGAAATTAAAATTGGACACTATCTGCCTCCAAGATATATAACATGAAAATCAACAACTTCCAGGTGAAGTGTTTTTAAAGAAATAAATGTTGGAAATGTAAAATGCAGGAGAGTACTTTCAATTATGTTGGTTGGATAGGTAGGGAAGCAGAAAAGTATTGGGAGATTAGTATATGGAATGCTGAAATGTTGAAATGCTGAAACTGGAATTGTGTTACTTGAGTATTATCTCTGAGATTATAGATAAAGAAATGAAATGTATTCTCAAAGACTTTCACAGCCAGGATCTGATGGTTGTTGTAGGTTTTTTCGGGCTGTTGGGACGTGTTCTTGAGCAGTATGACAGTGGAACCAGTTAACTTGGGAGCTGGTGAGTGCTCCAACACTGGAGGCATTCAAGAAAAACTTAGATAATCACCTTACAGATATGCTTTGATTGTATTCCTGCATTGAACAGGGTGTTGGACTAGATGGCCTTGTAGACCCCTTTCAATTTCACTTTTCTATGATTCTATGAAAGACCTGCAAAAGTATTAAAGTTTAAAAATAAATATATACAAAGTAAAAACCATTATTTGGCTCTAAGTGTATTGTTAACACAGAGAACATTTTCTTCTCATCCAGCCGTATGTAAAATCCATTGCTGTCTGTCACTGTCACACGGTTATCTTTCCAGTCTTCTAAGGACTTTCACCCAACATCAGTTCCATCGTCTGTTGCACTCCATGAAAACAAAGCCTATGTGGTTTTCTGTTCCTTTTCAATAACAGTGTGTGAGATAAATCCCGATAGTTCTATCTCCTTGTTCTCCATCAGTCGGTAATACCAAATCTTCCCAAGGCTTGGGTTTCCCAGCCCCTGAGAAGCTCAGATGCTGAGGATCACAGGGTTTGATCACCTCTGACCCAGTGCAGTCCAGGGCCTGAAGAGTCCAGAGCTTGAAAAACTCAAAGTCTGAAAAAAATTTCCCCTCCCTTAAATAATACCTGCCATTACAAAGCAGTATACTCGAAATATAATAGAATGCAATAGTCTATTTGTTCATGAATAATAGAGAAAATATATATTCATTGGTATCCTATTCAAAACACAATTATTATTTATAAGGGCAAAACCTTATAAAACAAATGACACCTTTACTCTCTTAATTACTTGTTTTTCTTTCATCAGTAAAGCTTTGAGCATCGATCTTTGACTTCTACATTATTCAGTAAGAGTGTACATTGTAAAATATACTCCATTGTGCGACATGACTTAACGACTAAACAATATATTGTTTTCATGTTTAACGTAAGTTTTCACACCTTTTTGTTAGTTAACATTATAAATTACATCACATAATGCATTCCATTTTTCTCCTTTTTTCTCGGTTTCACATTAAGCCAGCATTTTGTTGTTTATTCTTTCCAGTGGAAACTAGCACAAAAATTGAATTAGCTACTTAGTGCTTGTTAACTTAGCAGTAGCTTTTGTAATATAAACTATGTCAGAGTGGCACAGTTTTATCAATGTCTGTTGCAGAAGCTCCTTGCTCCAGTCCCAGCAGTTAAGAAAATCAGGCAGATAATACACTTCTAGCAGCTAAGTCTATTTACATATATACACACCAGAAACAGCTTTACAATCCACAACCATTTACATTAGCCAAGAGAAAGAAGTTATTACAGGGATGTGGTGGCGCTGCAGGTTAAACCGCAGAAGCCTCTGTGCTGCAAGGTCAGAAGATCAGCAGTCATAAGATCAAATCCACATGACGGAGTGAGCTCCCGTTGCTTGTCTCAGCTCCTGCCAACCTAGCAGTTTGAAAGCATGTAAATGCGAGTACATACATAGGTACCACCACGGTGGGAAGGTCACAGCATTCTGTGTCTAGTCATGCTGGCCATGTGACCACGGAAACTGTCTGCAAACGCTGGCTCTACGGCTTGGAGACGGGAATGAGCACCATGCCCTAGAGTCGGACACAACTGGACTAAATGTCAAGGGGAACCTTTACCTTCACCTAGATATACTTTGACTATCCAATCAATTTTCAGGGACATTACATCATCTTAACCTTGTGATCTCTGTGCTTATTGTTACTGGCTATAAATTGCAGATTCCATTTTGTTTGGCTTATTTTATAACTATATCACCAGCCATAATTTTTCTTCTCCTTTTAATACACCTCTGAAGCATCTTCTAAAAACCAGTTTTAATGTTTAGGTAAAAAACTCTACATCCCTTAAATATACAGTGGTGCCTCGCTTAACGGGCGCTCCGTTTAGCATCGAAATCGCTTAGCGATGACTTTTTGGAGCATTTTTGCGCTTCGTTTAACAATGGTCCCTATGGGCGATTTTCGCTTAGCGATGCTTGGGATCATGCTTCACATAACAATTAAATTTTGGGTCCCCTGTTTCGCTTAATGATGGTTTAAACAGCTTCATGTTTGCTGTTTTTTAAATGTTTTTCTGTTATTTATAAAGTTAGTTTACTGATTAAAATGTTTGAAATCATAAAGTGCACTTAATAAACCCTTTGTTAACCAAATTTAACTTTGTTCTGACTTTTTAAATTTATTGTTGTATTTTTCCAACATAGAGATGTGGGGAACTGCATTTCGCTTAAAGCTGTTTCCTATGACAATTTTTGCTTAAGTATGGCAATTTGTTCCTATTGGAATTGATTATCCGTTTTTCAATGCATTTCAATGGGAAACCGCATTTTGGTTAAAGATGAAATTGCTTAGCAGTGATATTTTTGGAACGAATTAACATAGTTAAGCGAGGCACCACTGTATATTTTTTTCATTCTTCACACAACTAAGGTCATCTCTCTGACTGAAGCTCAACCCACATTCCATGTATTTCTATGGTTACTCCCCAGTCTGGGTTCTTTAATGAGAACTAAGGGTATCTCTCTAATTCAGACTTTCCACATTCCATGTATCCATGTGGATTCTTACCAGTGCAAATTAGCTGAGATAAAAAAAAGATGTGCTCCTCCTCAAGCTCTTTTTCCACTCCACAAATTTCTATGGTTTCTCCCCAGTATGTATGATTTGATGGGACCTAAGGCTATTGGTATGACTGAAGCACTTTCCACATAACATGCATTTATGGGGTTTCTCACCTGTGTGGGTTCTTTGATGTGAGCTAAGGTTACCACTTTGACTAAATGTCTTTCCACATTCCATGCATTTATATGGTTTCTCTCCTGTATGGGTTCTTTGATGTGACCTGAGGTTATTACTCTGACTGAAGCTCTTTCCACATTCCATGCATTTATGTGGTTTCTCCCCAGTGTGCATTCTTTGATGTGAACTAAGGCTATCACTCCGATTGAAGGTCTTTCCACATTCTACACATATATACGGTTTCTCTCCTGTGTGTGTTCTTTTATGTGAACTAAGTTTACTATTCTCCCTGAAGCTTTTTCCACATTCCGTGCATTTATATGATTTCCCCCCTGTGTGCATTCTTTGATGTGAGCTGAGCTGACCGCTCTGACTAAAGCTTTTTTCACATTCTATACATTTATATGGTTTCTCCCCAGTGTGAGTTCTTTTATGCATATTGAGACTACTGCTATGACTGAAGCTCTTTCCACATTCCACGCATTTATATGGTTTCTCCCCTGTGTGGGTTCTTTGATGTGACCTAAGGTGACCACTGTGAATAAAGCTCTTTCCACATTCCATACATGGGTATAATTTCTCGCCAGTGTGAGTTATTTGATGCAACCTAAGGTGACCACTCTGACTGAAGCTCTTTCCACATTCCATGCATTTATATGGTTTCTCCCCAGTGTGAGTTCTCTTATGTGTACTAAGGCTAACACTCTTATTGAAGCTCTTTCCACACTCCATGCATGGGTACGGTTTCTCCCCAGTGTGAGTCTTTTGATGTATGTTGAGGCTATCGTTTCGACTGAAGCTCTTTCCACATTCCATGCATTTAAATGGTTTCTCCCCAGTGTGAGTTCTTTTATGCATATTGAGACTACTGCTATGACTGAAGCTCTTTCCACATTCCACGCATTTATATGGTTTCTCCCCAGTGTGGATTCTTTGATGTGACCTAAGGTGACCACTCTTAGTAAAGCTCTTCCCACATTTCATACATGAATACAGTTTCTCCCCAGTGTGAGTTCTTTGATGTATGTTGAGGCTACTGCTTTGACTGAAGTTCTTTCCACATTCCATACATTTATATGGTTTCTCACCAGTGTGGATTCTTTGATGTGACCTAAGTTGACCACTCTGACTAAAGCTCTTTCCACATTCCATACATGGATACATTTTTTCCCCAGTATGAATTGTTTGATGTGACTTAAGGTGACTACTGTTCCTGAAGCTCTTCCCACATTCCATGCATTTATATGGTTTCTCCCCAGTGTGAGTTCTTTGATGTGAACTAAGGTAATAACTCCGACTGAATTTTTTTCCACATTCTATACATGCAAATGGTTTTCCCCCTGCATGAGTTCTTTCATGTGAACTGAGCTGACGGCTGTTCCTGAAGCTATTTCCACATTCCATGCATTTATATGGTTTCTCTACTCCGTGAATTCGTTGATGTACACAAAGGTTTCTCTTGTCACTGAAGCTCCTCCCACATTCCATACATGGATATGGTTTCTCCCCTGTATGAGTTCTTTGGTGTGTCCTAAGGTGAGCACTCTGACTGAAGCTCTTCCCACATTCCATACATTGATATGGTTTCTCCCCAGTGTGAGTTCTTAGATGTAAACTAAGAGAATCAATCCGACTGAAGCTCTTCCCACATTCCATACATTGATATGGTTTTTCCCCTGTGTGAATTTTTTTATGTTCACTAAGGTGGCTGTTACGAATGAAGCTCTTCCCACATTCCATACAGTGATATGGTTTTTCCCCTGTGTGAGTTCTTTGATGTTCACTAAGACGACTGTTAGAAATGAAGTCCTTCCCACATTCCATGCATTTATATGGTTTCTCCCCTGTCTGCTTTTTTTCATGTGATGTCCATTCCTGCCCACACTGATTTTCAAATTTCTTTTGCTGCTTGGGCATGAGTTCCTGCTGAGGATGCCCCAGGTGTCTCTGGGTAATTCTTCTCTTGTTCATCATCTGGTACATTAAAAAAGAAGAGAAACAATCCATTTTGTAAATCTTTAGAGAGAAGGAGACCCCACCTGAATCACAGAGGAGGAAAGAATGACAGGCAAATAGGTGAGGGAGGAGAACCAGGGATGGGGCATTCTTTTGGTTATGAGGCGGGAAGGGATTCATTGAGGAAATTTTTGGAGGGAGGCTTCCTGAAGGACGATTTCCACACCCCAAAAAGTACGCAGAACTGAAAGCGTATTAAGATTTACAGCCCTCCCTTAATTATTATGGTAGAATTCTATTCTGGAAAATCTATTTTTATTTGATTTCATTATCCCATTAAAATGCCTTTTAATCAAAATATGGCTGGTGGAATTGCAGATTAGTGATTATAAAAGGGCATCATGACTCAAAAACGTTTGGGATACCTCACTTTAGATGGGTCTTAAGGAGAGATCACCATTATTAGCTGTCATTATAATCAGTGGACGAAAGGAAAAAATAAAATGCAAAAAATCTAAGATTACATTTAATTATAATAATAACAAAAATATTTAGGAATAAGTTGTAGCGATCACCCTGCTTTGGCTCATGTATGAGGTTATTTTCATGCACAAATAGGAGCTGTTGGGAGGCAACACTAGAAGGGAGGGGTGAGTCAGTGAGTCAGTCAGATAGTCTGGAGAGTCAGGGTGAGAAGACAGAGTGTTAGAGTGACTAGTTAAGGGAGACGGTTGAGAGTGTGGAACCTATAGCGAGTTAAGTGTGAAACAAGTTATTACAAAACTACTAAATGGTTTAAAGTCTTTAAGGAATCTATGAGAATTGTCAGTATGGACCTCTATCTTTCTAAATAAATATTGTTGATCAACTGGTGGCAGCATACAGGAGGGAATATGGTGTGGGTCTCAGGTTACTGAAATAATCTGGGGACACATAAAGGTACGTCACAATTGGTGTACAGTGGCAGGATACAAAGAAATTCAGTGAAGCCAAAGTTTAAACATGTCTGGAGTTGTAGGTACCTTTTAGATAGGATATGTGGTAAAGAACTGGGTAACCTGCTAGAGTTTTTGTGGAAAAGCTTAGTGGCAGGACTTCTGTACCCAGGTCTAGGGAACTTAAGATGGGGATGTAAGCTTTGTCTTTCTCCAAAGAGAATTAGACAGTTCGGAATAGAGAGGTTCTAGAGTTCAGTGTACTCCTATTTAGGATGAGATGAGTCCTTTTTCCCATCCAGGCCATCCCACTGACCATCTTTTCCCAAGTCTATTCCCATTTAAGAACCATTAAGAAACCAAAAATTAACCGTGAGTCTTAGAGTCATTTAGAACTCTCAGAACTCAGGAAAATATTGGACTTAAGGTAGTTAATTAGTGGCCAAAAATTTCAGTAGCAAGTCTGGTAGCAGGTTGTTCTGTTCAAGAGACCAGTCATAAATTCTTAAGTATAATTGTTTTCATTAGAAAAATAAAGATTTAAAAAGAATTCAATTTATTGCAAAGCATAGCATTCAGGTCAGTACAAAATAAGACTGCCCTCATCCATGATGTAATTCTGGATGAGGGTGCTGACCTGGCGTGCATTACTGAGACCTGGGTAGGAGAGAAGGGTGGTGTTCCCCTCTCCCAGCTGTGCCCGCCTGGGTACTTGGTCCAGCACCAATGTTGCTCGGAGAGTCGGGGAGGGGGAGTTGCTATGGTCTATAGGAGTTCTATCTCCTTGACCAGGCTTCCTATCCCTTTGAGAGGAGGTCTTGAGGGCCTGTATTGTGTGTTGGGCTCGCGAGACAGGTTAGGGATTCTGTTGGTGTACCACCCACCTTGCTGTGTGCCAACAGTATCGCTGCCTGAGCTGACAGAGGTCGTCTCGGACCTGGTGTTGAGGACTCCCAAGATGTTGGTGCTGGGGGACCTCAACATTCATGCTGAGTCTGCCCTGACTGGGACAACTCAGGACTTCATGGCCGCCATGACAACCATGGGACTGTCTCAATGTGTCATCGGCCCGACACATGAGAAGGGCCATACCTTGGACCTGGTTTTCTCAACGGGACTGGAAGATGGTGGTCTGGATGTGGAGGGGCTGGTTGTGACCCCATTGTCATGGTCAGACCACTTCCTGGTCAAGTTTAGTC